AACCACCAGCCTAGCTTTATGTTTGTTGATTGAGCCATCAGCATTAAGTTTGGTTTTAAACACCCACTTGACTCCAATTACCTTCTTGTCTTGAGGCCTATCCACTAGGATCCAAGTTTTGTTTTTCTCTATCATTGACAACTCCTCCATTGCATCTATCCACCTTTGATCCTTTTTTGCTTCTGCATAGTCAGCAGGTTCACATAAGGCAATATTGCACCTTTCATAAACATTTGAAAGAAACCTTGTTCCTCTCACAGGAGCATCATCCACTGTTTGATTCTGCGAGTCATCTTCTTCTTCAATGCTTGAACTATAAAACTTGAGTTTCAGTTCTGCCATGTTCTGACCCTTCTTTTCTGCATCATCCAGGTTCAACTCTTCATCCTCCATGAAGTGAACATCCCTGCTGACAATAATATTTCCAGTTTGTAGCTGGAAAATTTTATAGGCTTTATTTACAGAACTGTAGCCTATAAAAATGCCTGGTGAAGCTCTCCTATCAAGCTTGTCACGCTTACTCTTTGGAACATGAGTGAAACACAAACAACCAAATACTTTAAGAAATTTTAGAGATGGTTTATAACCATACCATGCCTCAAATGGTGTCATTTCTCTCACTGCCTTTGTTGGAAGCCTGTTTTGAAGAAACACAGTTGTATTTGCTGCCTCTGCCCAAAACTTTTTTGGCAAATTCTTCTCATGCAACATGCATCTTGTCATCTCCATGATGTATCTATTTCTCCTCTCACTAACTCTATTTTGTTGAGGTGTGTAAGGGGATGTAAGTTGATGCTCTATGCCTGAATCTTTACAAAACCTGTCAAATTCTGCTAAAGTATACTCCTTTCCATTATCATCCGTCAACTTTTCAGTTTCATTCACTTGTGAGTATGCATACCTAATGGTTGTACATTGATAGAACAGGTACCTGGTTGAATAGGAATAAAATCGGCACTAGTCCTCCTAGGCGGCAGACCCTTTTGTTCTTCAAATACAACCACAACGCCCATTAGCAACCCTTTCAATTCTTGTTTTTTCCTGGTCAGGTTGGTAACTGATTCATGTGATATGGCTGACCTAACTTCTTCCGAGACAATGAATGCACACCATAAAATTAAAAATACAGCAAATCTAAAGCCCTTGAAAAATTAGCTCATGCTGCTTCAGTAAGGCTTTTGGAGATACCTGGTTCCTATCTTAAGAAGGAAACCCATTCAGCCATGTCTACTGTGCTGATTAAAGGTCATCATTATTTTTGAGAGAGAGCCTTCCAATTTACCTTCATGTCTCCCAATGTCACCAGCCATGAAATTCCCAATAGAATTTCCATGCTGACACAAGGAAGTAGGTGAAAATCTTCAACCACTACAATCCCCTCTAGTTGCTTACAAAGCCCACTTGACTTCTAATGTCCATCACTCAATCTGACATTAAATTCAAGAGTCCACTCAATGAGTATCTTCAGAACCATAGCTAAGTCATTTGAGGTGAAGCTAGGAATGGTCCACTGTCAACCATCACTACTACAGTCTTCTTTGCCACTACTCCTTACAACTCAGAGTGTTTGGCTGAGTAAAGCCCCCCATTGAGTACTAAATCCAATAGGTGGTGCTCCATCACCACTAACTACATTTCTATATCCTCTCTTTTTTCTGCTCCTTTGTCCCCTATATTCTCCTTGTAATAGTTCTCTTCTTCTTCCACCATACTCTAAATTGTCATTCCAAACACCAGAGAAAATCTCCAAACTGTTGGGCACATAGAAAACACATGTCTGTGTCCCTCCATATATGTACCACTGGTATGATAGGTTACACACTCCTCTATCCTGTTGCCCCTACTGTACGCAGTTGTTTCAATCCAAGTGGAGCCATAGTTTACTAGAGAAATGTGCTCAGCGTTGGATCAGGGAATGGTAATGGGTTGTAAGTTGGTTGTGTTCCTCTCAACCTGAGTCCAATGTCATGGATCCCATAACTCTGCTCCAAGCTTCCATTACCAACTTCTATCCTATCACAATATATCCCCTCTTTGACTTATATTTGATATATAAGTCACAATCGGATCATTACAATGTTGTTGAATTTCAGGACCCTCCCGCACAAGAACCTCCCAAAACTAAAACTCAACCTAAATTACCCCCATCCCCCCACCCCTAAGACTAAACCTTAAATTGAATTGAAAAGAATGTATACAAGTTTCTAACACTGACTGAAAATAAAACAACAACCGGTAGGAAATGTACCTTCCTGGTTGTTGCCTTGATTCATCCAGGGCCCTTTACTCTCCTCTTAATGATGTTAGGTTACCTTTTTATTTTATATATTCAGCATAACTTATTACAATAACCCAACTCCAACATAGATGCATTGCAAAACAAAACAGAAATCAGAACCAGAATTGTGCAACTGCTTAAGACCATTTGCTGACATGTCTGTAATTTATAAGCTTATGAAAAGTAAACTATTAATATGAACAAAATACAGGAAAAAAGTTCAAGTTCACTTCCCCAACTAAGCAACAATTTATGTGCCTGAAACTCAATGTTTCAGAAGCATACCAGTAAAACTACAATGCCCAATTTCAATGACACGAGAGGAATAAGTCAGAATATCATAAATAATAGGTCTTACTTATTTCCTGCTTCTGGCATAAAGTCAACAAGATCATCTCCTTCCAACCCAATCAAATCCTAAAAGGCATACAATTGACAAGCATGGAAAAATGATATAATCAGGATCACTTTACAGAAGAAATCTGGGGAGGGGGAAGCATAACAAATATATATCATAAATGTGCAAACATACAGCATAGAATTGAGATATTTTGAACACTGCATCGGGGCATCTCAAGGGAAGAATTTCAATAGAAATTCCAAGATCCTGTGCATCCTTAACAAACCAAAAAAAGTAATTATGAACCACTAGCCTTCTTCAAACCTTATGGTTTTACCATCTATGCTATAAACAAAAGCATATGTTAATGGTTACTTTAGCTCTCTGCAGGGTCATTCTTATCATATCTGATTTTGCAGCCCCTTTGATACTACCAAAAGGATCATCATCATTTGTGAACAGAAGTATGCGTTTGTCAACTGTCTTTGCTGACCTGGTATAAATGTTTCCAATTATCAGTAACCAATAATAACGTGAAAAAAATCTGTGTGTAGTGTGTGTCCATAGCCAATATAATACCCTTTACAAAGAAGTGCCTGAGCTGCCCAGATAGCATTGTACAGAGAATTTTCTCGAGTATCAGACACAATGCCAACCTGACTTCCTATGTATTTCGAAAATGACTCTAGAGAAGATTGAAACAAACAATAGCCTCAGAATTATATATTACATAATACACAAAACAAGACAGAATCTGAATCAGAAATTAATCCTACTAAATGCATACTCCACATCATACACTACATAGCAGTTCAGAAACTTACAAAAGCATTACATAAAGCTTATAAGGATTGAAAAAGATAAAACATATACACTAATAATGTGTGTATTATGAGTTATTAGCAGACATAACCAATGTAATCATAGGTTTAATTAAATTCACTGCTTTACTTTTTCTTCTAAGTCGCATCCTCAATCCAAATTTACTGTGCCAGTCATCAGAGTCAGAACAACACTATTATATTTATCCAAAAAAATTTCAAACCCTGGTTACAGATCAAAAAAAAGTATAACAGGAACAAGCAGCTTCAGAAGTAACAACTTCAAAAGAAGGAAATTTGCATCAGGTAAACAATCCTTTGCCCATGTTTATACAATATTATTCATGTAAGTTTGAAAACCAGTTAGTCAGCAAGCAAAATCTTTAATCATCTAGTCAGTGCTTGATGTGACAAAAAATTACAAATTTAACAAGAATACTACACCAAGTTCAATGGCATCTCTTATGAAAAGAAAATTACTACAAGATAGTTTAGTATAAATAAGGTTCACCAAAATGATTCTCTATATCCACCACCAGAACTGGAAAGCCCAAAATCTTACCTTCCAACTGGTCAAATTCTTTTATGAGCCTTGCTGTTGGCCTGTCTAGAAACTCTCTTTCAGGAACATTAAATACAAAAACACTCTTTAAATCTTGTAAATTTTTCTTCTCCCTCTGAAATAACAAACGGACTAAATAAGAGATTGCAAAACTAGGTACACTGAATTAGAGTTTAGCCTTAGTAATATGCGCAATGAAGGATTTCGTTATTGCCATCACATATTACTGAGGTAACAAGGAGAAAAAATAACTCTAATTGGCCTTTAAGATTTATAAAACTGAAAATCAGAAACCTAGTCTTTTAATTTGTAATTTATACCACAAGAATAAAACCAAATTTTGTGACAATGATGCCTTACTTAAGGTTTTTCCCCACTCTACTGCGCAAGAAGCAAGAAG